AAATATCAGGTTCTTTTCTACACTATGTTGGTTGAACCAGCTGGTCTCAAAGGTCCCTTCCTGTGCTATAATTCTACGAAGTGGATCGTAACCTCCTAAAAGACAATGATCAGGTCCTGTTATTCTCTTGTGTTCCATTCAGCATTCATTTATGAAACACTACTTTGTGCAAGTCGCTGCCCTCATAAGTGCTGATGGATAAAAAGACGAGAGGCCAAGTCCTAAAAGTGTTTACATCCTACTGGGTGGAATATGTATAATGCAAAGTAGGGACTAAACAAAGCAATCTATGAATGCTTGAGTAGCTGTGTGGATGGGGAAGGCTTTACCAGGGAGGTAGCACCTGAGCTGAGCTTGTGACCTTGGTGTCATTCTCAGTCCTTCGCTTGAGCTCGCCTCATGGATCCAGTCTGCTGCCAGGTCTTCTTTCTACCTTCACAACATGTCTTGTATGGGAGAGTCTTTACTCACAAAGCCACTGCCCTGATGCAAGCCCTTATCACTTTCCTCCTAGACTACTGCAATAACCTTCTTGTTGATCTTCCTACCTCAAGCCTCTCTCCATGCTCCAGTCCATCCTCCACTCAGCTGCCAAAATGATCTTCCTAAAACACAGGTCCAATGATGTCACCATCTCCAAAACCCTGCATCATTCAGTAAACTCCAGTAGCTCCCCATTACCTCCAGGATCAAATATAAATCCTCTGTTTGGATTTTAAAATCTTTCACAACCTGGTTGCTTCTGATCATCCTTGTCTTTTTACACTTTACTCCGCTCCTTGTGCTCAATAATCCAGATACACAGGCCTCCCTGCTATTCCTCACGCACAGATTCCAAGTTTCTTCACTGGCTGCCCCCCACCCACACCCCAGCCTCCGGGCTTCCCTGCCTTTAAGACTCAGATTACATCCCATCTTCTGCCAGAGGCTTTTCCTGGTCCCTTCCCCCATCCCCATTCCCCTTCCCCACCTGCAACTGCTATAGTGCCTCCCCACTTACCTCCCATTTAGACTTGTATGTACATGATTGTTTGCATGTTCTCTCTCCTATTGAAATTTGAGCTCCTGGAGGGCAGGGACCATGTTTTTTGCCTTTGCTTATATCTTTAGCACATAGGGTAGTCCCTCACGCACGGTAGTTATCCAGTAAATGCTTATTGACTGACTCCAAGGTACTGATAGAGATTGCATCCTTGGCATGGCAGCGGCCTGCATAAGCCCACAGAGGCACAAGGAAGCACCGATAGTAGTACAGTTTAATTGGAATCTTCGGAATAGAAAGAGGAATGATATGAAACAAATTTAGAAAGGTATAAACTGGAGTCAGTTTGTGTTCTTCATAGTGCTTAGCCCAGTGCTAGGCTAGTTCAGTAGACACTGGTTAATTGATATCATACTTTGCAGAGCCTTGTGCTCTTGGGAGGGATAGTAAAAGAAGATTCTAATCCCACCCTGGAAGAATTCATAGTCAGAATGGAAGGATTGAGACATGCACATGTGAAATGACCTAAGTGATATAAAGCATCCCATCAGCACAAATCATATCCCCACCTATAGGAGTTAGGTAGATATTATCCAGGGAAGAAGACTTCAGCCACAACTCTTCATGTCCCTCTCGTAATCATTTGTTCACTATTAATATTTCTATAGATTTGGTCCCTCACATTGGGATAATTCCTTAGCACTAAGATGGTCCCTGACACTGAAGACTATCTCCTTGATATTCCTTCAATGATCAGGACCAGGCTAAGTCCATAGAGCTTTCACTAATTGAAGCCCAGTGGTGATGATGTGTCTGTCTGTCTGTCTGTCTGTCTCTCTCTCTCTGTTTGTTCTGTCTCTGACTCCCTGTCTGTCTCTGTCTCCTGATCCAGTAAGGGATCAGTGATTGGTCCACCAGTCTCGTCTGGATTCCTCTGAGCCTGGCCCTGCACCAAGGATCTGAATACAGCTCATTCATACATTTAATTTCACATACCTGGAGTTAGGAACTGGAACTCAAATTACATTTAAATGAGTAGAGCACTGGCACTTTTAAAACCAGACTTCTATGTGGACCCTAAATGTGAGACCTCCTGAAGCCAGATACCAATGACTGCTGAGATTTTCCTACCCATCCTTGTTAACTGCTTCATTACCTATTGTTTTCCTGGATCTTTCTTCCCTTTTTGACTCCTTAGCCCCCTGAAATGCCCCCTAAAACACTATCTCTAATGTTTTCTTCATGAACTTTTCAGATCAAAAAAGAAAAAAAAGCATTAAAAGCTAAAGCCATCTTTTAAAAAAAAACATGTTTAATGTTTGTAAAATTGATGCTTTGTTGGAGCTAGACTCTTTTCTGACTTTAGCATTCTTTTTCTTGGGCACAGTTAATATTTTTCAGGCAACTGGGGGAGGGGCAGGGAGTAGGGAAATTTTAAGTAACTTCTTTCATTCTCAGAGTTGTGGGTATTGGGTTTGGAATATAAGTACTCCACCTCTACCTCTAACTCTCTGTGTTACATTGAGCAAGTCACCACCTCTGGGACTCAAATTTCAGCTTTCTCATCTGTAAAATGATGGGGTTAGTTTAAATGATCTCTAAAGTCTCTTTCAGCTCTACATCTCTAAGCCTAATTTCAGAGACCACTTCTCTTCCTAGTTTTCTTGG